AGAGAATTAAGAAGTTTCGGAATGTACCCAAATATCGCACCACAGGAGACCCCCCCACACTCTTTATGTTCTTCCACTTTTTCCCCCCCAATGGTAATTCCCAAAGTTAGCATACCCTTTTCAAAACCGGGCTTAACACCTTACCTGAGGTGTTTACGAATTAAGTTATCCATCTTTTATCCGGCAGTTTTATATTTAATCGCAATTAGTTATTCTGGGGGCAGGTGACACATTCCTTTCCAGTTCATCTGCAAGTACTTTGAGATAAGGAATTTTTATTTATGACCAGACCCTGTTAGCTAGTTATTATTTTTGAGACAGGGTCTTGCTCTGTCTCCCAGGGTAGAGTGCCGTGGCGTCATCCTAGCTCACAGCAACCTCAAACTCCTGGGCTCAAGCGATCCTCCTGCCTCAGCCTCCAGACTAGCTGGGACTGCAGGCCCGGGGGCCACCACACTCAGCTAATTTTTCTATGTTTAGTAGAGATGGGTCTGCCTCTTGCTCAAGCTGGTCTTGAACTCCTGGCCTCCAGCAGTCCTCTAGCCTAGGCTCCCTAAAATGCTAGGATTATAGGTGTGAGCAACCACGTCCAGCCAGACCTTATTTTAGTAATGCCTTTGACTGTGGATTTTAAATCTTTCTGATGCTCTCAAACTAATGGCATAGACAGCATACAGAACACAGAAGGACATTGACCTTGGAATGGTGTATAATTGTATGGATCATGTAAGATTTATTACTAGCCAACTCCAGGGTTACAAATTCAGCAGGGAGTTTAAGATAAATTCTACTCCAGGTGAGTTCTCCCTCTTGACACTTAAACTATTTCCCTTGACCATAAATGGACTCTAAAACAATTTTGCATTATCTTCCATGCCTGTTGCTACTTCCACTTCCTTTCAGAAGAAAGTGTGGTAAATTATAAAGAGCATAGCCAATGACTTTTAAGAACCCTGAGTTCTAGTCCTGACTCTAATCCTGATCTTAGGCAAGACAATTTAATGTTGCTGATTTGGTTTCACTTGTAAAACCAAGCTATTGCCCTCTGTGCCAAGCTTAAGAAAGTGCTTTGTAAACTTAACTATGAATACATCAGTATGCACAGAACAAATGAGGTTACTAAGGTCCTAGCTCTAAAATTCAGCAGATGTATTATATTTATGTCCCATCTCAGCTAGATGATAAATTCCTCAAGGATTGTGACAACAGGCATTTGGAGACAAATCCTGTAGTTTTTAATGTATTCGTTGATGGCTGTATGTACTCACAAGATAGAATACATCATCTTGAAGCCTTCAATTTTACTTGAAGAGAGACAGTTACTTTCACATTAAACACATTTTTAAAAAATACATGAAATGCAAAATTCATCTTATTTTAAAACATAAAATTTGTGTCAACTGACTTCAAATTATGCCTTAAAACTTTCCATCTTTGGTAGAGCATCAGAAGCATCAAATGAGAGGAACTATAAAGTACCAAGCAAATCAAGGAAGATGTCTGCAGACTCTACATGCCTATACAAGCACCAACAGTGACATGGGCTGTAATGGCAGTGTTTCCACATTTTCATGGCATCTTGAGAGTTCTGATCCTGCTTTAATTACACCTTCCTTCTTGCTTTATTAAAAATATAAGCCTCTTTTTTTCTCTTGTAGCTTGCAAATTGTTAATACACATTGCAAAAATATTAGTAATGGCAGATGGCAAAGAAAATGAACAGAAAATAGTTCAAGTGTACTGTGAAGTTTAAGTGATACTTTACATCTACTGGCTATGTTTTATCTATAAAATGGTGACACTGCCATGTACCTGAGTAAATTAGTAAAAGTGGTAAGTATAAAATACCCAGGCACTTATTGAAAGGTGGAGATGACACGAAGTGATTAGAAATTCATGCCTCTTAACCACATGTGCAAACCTAGAATAATGTCTAGAGGTACAGATTGGGGAGCTACTAGTATCATTCTAAAGGTAGTCATTTCAGCCATAGAAATAGATAACATCATTAAGGGGATCATGTAGAAACTGCAGTCCCCAACACCCAGGCCACAGACCAATACTGGTCCATGGCCTGTTGGGAACCGGGCTGCATAGCAGATGAGCAGTGGTGAGTCATGGAAGTGTCATCTGTATTTACAGCTGCTCCCCATCACCTGCATCACAGAACTCCACCTCCTGTCAGATCAGTGGCAGCATTAGATTCTCATAGGAGCTCGAACCCTACTGTAAACTGCACATGGAAGGGATCTAGGTTGCAGGCTCCTTATGAGAATCTAATGCCTGATGATCTGCGGTGGAGCTGAGGCAGTGATGCTAGCACTGTAGAGTGGCTGCAAATACAGATTATCATTAGCAGAGAGGTTTGACTGTACAATAAATGAAATGTGCTTGAATCATCCTGAAACCATCCCCCCAACAATCCCCATCTGTAGAAAAATTGTCTTCCATGAAACTGGTCCCTGATGCCAAAATGATTGGGGACCACTGATGTAGAAGGTAACTAAGGGATAGCATTTGAGGAACTGGAAGAACACTAATACTAAAAAATAGTCAAACTGTTAAAATAAGAATAGAATTAATCCTAGAAACCAAGGAAAACTTTTAAAGCATGTGTTTAAGTGGAGAATGTTACAGTGAAAGATCATATCCACTTATAAATATTGAAACAACAAAATTGTGTCTGGTTTTTTACTGTGTGGTACAAAAACCATCAAATTAAAATAATCACACTACCAACCAACCTCAGTGACTGACATCAAAGTTATGTATGAGAGCTGGCAAGAATTTTAGTTGCCAAATAGGATTTAAGTATAAAATCCTGGCAGGTGATAGCACATGCAGGCCCTACCCACTAAGGGCTTGCAAACTAAGAGTGAAAAGCCTTTTGGTTCTTTATTATTTCAGAGTCAGAACAATAGGAAATTGTGAAAACTAAGCTTTGCAGGTTTATTTAAAAGTGATACTGCTTTATATTAACTGTGATCCATATGTGGTCTCTATAATTAATCCAATTAGAATGTCATTAAAAATAAGGATGAATCAATGGCCAAGGGTCTCTTCACTATGGGCAAAAATGTGATTATTCTTCTGGGTTGTAAGAGCTACAAAGAGGCCAGGCGCGGTGACTCACGCCTGTAATCCTAGCACTCTGGGAGGCCGAGGCGGGCGGATTGTTTGAGCTTAGGAGTTTGAGACCAGCTTGAGCAAGAGCGAGACCCCGTCTCTACTAAAAATACAAAGAAATATTAGCTGGACAACTAAAAATATATAGAAAAAATTAGCTGGGCATGGTGGCGCATGCCTGTAGTCCCAGCTACTCGGGAGGCTGAGGCAGAAGGATTGCTTGAGCCCAGGAGTTTGAGGTTGCTGTGAGCTAGGCTGACGCCACAGCACTCTAACCTGGGCAACAGTGAGACTCTGTCTGTTTAAAAAAAAAAAAAAGCTATAAAGAAACACATGACTGAGCACAGGGGCACAGGTTTGTAGCCTCAGCTACTTTGGAAGCTGAAGTAGGAGGATCACTGGAGCCCAAGAGTCTGAGGCCAGCCTGGGCAACATAGTGAGACCCTTGCCCATCCTCACCCCCTCCTAAAAATTAAAAAAAGAAACACAAGATTTTGACAAACAACCTTATGTACCATCTCCTATGGCACATATGCAGCAAAAAAGTTACTTAATAAGTGCCTTTTGGTAGGTAGCCAGCATATAGGTGTTTCCGTTTTGCTTGATATATTAATTCAATAGGGCTGCTCATTGTTCTTTACATATCCAGGACATGAAGGGTTTGGAGAGAAGTTGCATAATGGGCTTGCCCCTTTCCTCAACAGACAGGTAATACATAAAAAAGAACCCATACCCAAATCATAGAATTTTTATTGTTTTCAAATACTATACAAAAAAATAGACAGTATGTGTATCTTGACAGATCCAGAAACAGTCCAAATTAAACGGTGTTTTTTCCTATTTCAAGTTACTTTGAGTTGCTACAATGATAATCCAATTACTGAGTTCTACTCTCTTCCATCCAATCACTTTGGCCTCATAAGAATTCTTGCTTTATTTCCCACAAACTTTAAATTGAGGACATTCCTTTTTGTAAGAAAAGGATATCTTCGGGGATATTTTCTTCTATTATACTTCTTGGGTCCTTAAATATCTGAGATTTCATAAGTATCTGAGATCTCACTCTCTTGTTTTCTTATAGTATTAAACACAAAACACAATAGAGTAACCAGGACCTCTTTCTGGTATTTCTATTAATTACTGTGTTTCAAATTCCTTAAATATGTGTGAATTCATAATGTTGAATCTGCCCCAAAGACCATTTTGAGTGTTTCTAAATCCATGTCTATTTTTCTAAATTCATCTTCACTCTTCGTACTACTTCTTTTATGGGGCAGAATACTTTACGATAGATTAATTTTTGTTTTAGATTATGTGTGGGTAGATGTCTAGAAAAGTGATTCTCCAATTTCTTCTTTCACAACCATCCCCAATGCACACCTACATATATCCATACCACTTCCCACCCCTAATTCTATCATTTTCCCGTAATTGGGCAGTAAAGAGATTCGAGGATATTTCCCTCAACTAAAGAAATTGCCATCTCACTCTATTTTGCCTTGTTGAAAAGCTAGTAATAGGGCAGGACGCCCAAGAAATAATGTGATAAAAAGATGTTGGAATAAAAAAAATTAAAGACTAGTTGGCAGAAAAAATAATTTAACAGTTATGTTGAATCACCACAGTATTTCTATAGAAAGATACATTTCTGCAGATCCACTTCTCTGGGACAATGCTTCAACCACCTTTGCCTTAAATCCTCTAAAAGGAAATTATTTAGACTATGTTAATCTGATACCATTAAGCAATGATTTAAAGTGGATGGTTAAAAAACTGTCTTTTTTTTTTTTTTTAAGCATAGACAACAGTTGATTCTTTAACACAACAAGCTTTTTCCGGACCATTGGTCTCATAATAAATATTAAGACCTATACTACTGATATACAGAATTTATTAAGCTTTTCACATGTAATAGAGCATAGTTTTAATTGCGTCCAAAATGCTAACAAAAGCTCTAGCAATCAAGACTGGCAACATGTTATTTCATAACAATCAACACTTGTGGCTTTTCAAATTTGGTTTTCATAAGATAATTTATCCTGAAGTAAATCTAGCCATGCTTTTAAAAAATGCTTTAGGTCACTCCAAGCTTGGCAATTAACATTTGGCATAAACAATAATAAAACAATCACAACTTGATAAATAAATACAACATTGTAGGCCATAAACATATACAGCATAAGGAAAAAGTGGTGGTGATGTGTAAGTAGCTATTAGAATTGAGTACCTTGGCCTCTATGCAAATTTGTCCAGAGGCCATGATTCACTCAGCCCCAACACTCAGTTCTCAAATCGGGGGCGGTATCTACAGTATCCTTTTACAATTCTAACACATTAAAAAAAAAAATAAGTAGAAAAATGATGAGTTGATTTTTATTAATGCATTACAACCTCAGGAGTTACCACCAACCTCTTAGTATAAAAAAATGCTCAAGTTATATTAGTCGTATAACTTTGTGTGCTTATTTCAAATGGTGCTAAATGGATTAAATGAAGACAGCAATGTTTCCCCTAATGTGATTGATTTTGGTGTTTTTACAGCAATCTAGATCTAAAAAACTTTCAGTTTGAATTGACAAGAGTGCTCATATTTCAACCGACTGATAATACAATATGCTTGATTCGGAATGTTATTTTGTCGATTTACTCAAATTAGAATTTTAACCTGGTAAAAATAAGTTGATATGAGTGACATAATAACCAATACACTGAAATGGTTACTGTCATAAATAGAGATAAGGATGGATGAGAGAGGAGTTCTACTCTCATCACCTACAAGTTTGATTACTATACACACTGTAACTTACAAAAATGTAACAAATTGGATGTAGAGCTATTTATGCTAGTCTGGTGTCTTCAGACACCCAAGATATGTACCTTGTACCAAAACAGTGTTTACTCCAAAATATCTTTTTGTAGCTGGTAGCTCTTCCCTTAGAGATAAAGAAAATATACCCCAATTTTTAATAACTAGGATTCAGAAAATGTAAAAGAACAATTTTAATTAGGAATCAAATATACAGAGATTCAAAGAGAAAAGGAAATCTTGTAGAAGACAAAGACCAAATTGGCATCCCAGATCTAGAGCAATTTTGTAAAGTAAGAAAGTGACTATGACAACCTGCAGCTTCTTAGATCATTCTAGTGAGTGTCCCCAGGTACTACAAGTGTTTTTATAATGGTGTTGCCTAAATAAAGGGCCTTAAATACACATTAAAGGGTGTTTCCTAGGAATAGAGGTGAAGATATTTTCATTTTGTTTAACCCACAGACTATTTGGTCAAAGGAATATGTAAAGCTAAATAAAAGCACATCTGGTAGAAATTCATGACAGTGAATGTTGACAAGATGTGCTTGGATCTTGCTTGCAGCATCTGGCAGTGGGTAGCAGAACAAAGGTAGGAATCTCACAGGCTCTCCTGTGTCGGTTCTGGAAGAGGCTCCGTGGCGGTGGCACTGGCATTTGCAGCTGAATTCAAGACTTCTCCAAAATCACCGCCAGCAGGCTTGGTTCCCCCTACTTTGGACTTTAAAAAGAGTTCAAAAAAGGAAAAGACATCATGAAACATAAAATTAGCTGATTCTGCATAAAGTAACTGTAATTTTACTTTCAAGAACAAATAAATCAGGAACCTAATAGCTCAGTGATTAGTATATACATATGGAATTTAGTGCTGTTGTAATGTTGAGTGTGGTTTCATAGCAAAACTTACGCATTCTTTTTTGCTGAAATATTCAGACTGGTAAATTCTACTGTTTCTCCTTTTTTCTCCCTAACTGCTCATTGTTCTTCACAAGGAAATCTGTCTAAAGAACTTTGTAAGGCCTGTTATTCTAAAATATCTATGAACTCTCTTTACACTTGGATAACATTTTGTATTGCATGGAAGTGTTCATTCAGCTACACTCATTCAAGAAATATTGAGTACAACAAAGATGATGTATGTATTTTTCCCAGTTACAGTGTAAGCTTTCTAACCTTTTACTACTTAAAGTGTAGTCCAAGGACCTACATACCCAACATCACCCGGGATCTTGTTAGAAATGCAGAATCTCAGACATCCCTTCTACCTCCAACTCACCTCCAACTACAGTTTAAAAAGATCCCCAGGTGATTCGTGTGCACATTATAGTTTGAATGACCTAGAAGCACAACTCCAAGCTACGTGTCCTGAAATTTTGTCAATAATCATTTATTTGAATGAATATATCCTGCCTTACATTTATACAATATTTTATGCTTTTCTAAACCCTTACACATAACATGTCACTTTATCCTTTTCAACACTGATGTATCTATGCTCTCTCACTGTGTTACATCTCATGACTGTCCAACAGGACACCTAACATTAAGAAACCAGTCAGTGACCAAGGATGCAATAAGCTCACAGTGGCTGTGAACTTGACCTTACTCTTAGCTCAATCTTAACTGACTGGCCAGAGACTCACTAACAATTGGAATCTAGTTGAAATTTCTCCCTCATTGTTTTTGATTTCCCATCCAAATATCTCTGAATTGTTTGGGAAATTTGTATAACATATCTATTATTTATTTATTGAATTTACTAAAATGCATTCCTTAATTATAAGAAAATATCAAGATTCCTTGCAATTCAACATGTCTAAAACTGAACTCCTCCCCCACAACTGGCCCCTTCTCTATTCTTTTTTTTTGATACAGGGTCTTGCTCTGTCTCTCGGGCTAGAGTGCAGTGCAGTCATCATAGCTCACTGCACCTCAAACTCCTGGGCTCGAGTGATCTTCCTGCTTCAGCCTCCCATGTAGTTGGGACTACAAGTGTGCACCACCATGCCGGGCTGATTTTTCTGTTTTTGGTAAAGACACAGTCTCACTCTTGCTCAGGCTGGTCTTGAACTCCTGGCCTCACGCGATCCTCCTCCCTCAGACTCCCAAAGGAGCCACCTCGAATGGCCTTCTATTCAAGACTACTTTAAATGGTAGCAGCACCCAACTCAACACCTGGGTGTTGTCCTTGATCCATATCCATCTTGTTCCACATCCAATTAATCTTTTTTCTGCCATTTCTCACTTCTAAATATCTCAAGACTTTGTCTCACTGCACTACCTCAATTCACTCTACCATCATCTTTGGCCTCTGGATTACAACTCCCTCCTCCCAACTAATTTGCTGTCTCCCATCTTTCTCCCGCTCCATGTGCAGGGCAGCCAGTGGTCTTTCTAAAATGTACAGAATGCACCACTCTGGTTGTTTAAAATCCGTCAATGGCTTCCCATTGCCCTAAGTCCAAATTCTTTAATGTAGCCCACCCAACTCTCTAGCTTCACCTCCTGTTCAATACCCTATAGCACAATGAAGTTCTTGGTGTTCCTCAAAAGGACCCCGAAGCTTCAAACATTCCCCTCAACCTAAAGGTCTCCATTTATATTACTGTGTGCTCTGAGAGGTCTTCTCTGACCTTCCCTCCTGTCAAGGTAGTTGAAGTTCCTGCTTCTTGTCCTCACTGCACCCTCAACTGTCCCTGTCATAGCCCTTACCTCATTTTCATTGGCTATTTAATTGTCTAAACATCTTACAGAAAGGGTCTATGTCTCTCTTGCTCACTGTGGTACCTCCAGTGCCTAATACTCACAGCACTGCATGGCACATCGCACATGCTCACTAACCACAGATAAATCAATCAATCCGGAATCTAAATGTAGTACACGTAGACCTTATGTTTAATTGAATGTAAATTTATGGCCAGGCGTGGTGGCTCATGCCTGTAATCCTAGCACTCTGGGAGGCCAAGGTGGGAGGATTACTTGAGCTCAGGAGTTCGAGACCAGCCTGAACAAGAGCGAGACTCCATCTCTACATACATATACATACATACATACATACATACATACATACATAAATGAATAAATCCTACTTATAAAAAAATAATAAAAATAATTCAAAATAAATGTACTTCAGTGAAATTATATCCCAAGCATACAACTTTATTTTATAACTTCCTTGGGATATCTGTTTAACACACTATACTTTTTAAAAATTACTTTTTTAAAAATCTGAATGGTGCCTAGTCATATTTTAAAAGATTACAATTTACAGAGTCTAAATATATTCAGGAGAGAGTATATAATAAATGACTTGGAAGTTTCTCCTCATCTCCAATGTCAAAAGGACACATGGTGCCTGGCTTTCCAACTAGCCATTTCAAAAACTAATGCTTACAGCAGATTTCAGGGAGAGGCTGTAACAGTCCTAACAGTATTGAGGACTTAATTATATTAAACCTTGATTTCCTGCAACTACAGTTCCTTTTCAAATATATGACTTGACGTTAAGAAGAATAAAGTAGATCCCTTGAAATGACCTAGAAGAATGACTATGATACATTTTAATTCATCAAATACATATTGGGCAATGTACCAGGGACTGTTCTAAGCCCCTGAGAAGTAACAGTGAGTAAAAAGAACAGGTCCCTGCATTCCTGGGTTGACAGAGCATCATGCCAGTGGAGACTGAACAAACAAGTTGTAGGACTGTGTGTACAGTGTGATTCCTTTTTGAAAAACATTCATATATTTGCATACAAACAGAAAAGGTATGTGCTAATGTTTGTTATGTGCCAGATAAAAGATCCAGATCACTGCAGTGTTTGATTTTCTTTTAATAAACATACCTGCTTCTGTAATTTTTAAAAGATGCATTTAAAAGTAAGTGACTCAAAGTTCTAAAAGACTAAACTGAATGTTTTTAAGCTGATTTATAAAAAAACACTTAAGATATTAGTTTTAATCTTTAAACTATATCCATTGTAATTATCAGAGTTAGGTTAGGAAGAAATGAACACATGGCTTGATATTAATATTAATACAAACTGTGTCTGTAGAAAGGGTCAGGTAGTGGATGGAAACTAGATGACCTTTAAGGTTGCTTGTGATCCTAAGAGTTGATGATTTTGTAGTTTTGAATATAATCTTGAAGATAATACAATTTAAAAATCAATAAAGCTAATCATTATGGGAAAATGTTCACCTCCATTGAAATCAAAGAAATAAAAAAAATAGTGAATTGTCAACGATCATGGCATCATCCTAATAAAAATGTCCAATAATTGAGGATTGAACAAATAGTATCCATTGTAAGGTAATGTATAAGCAGTCATTACACATAATACTGAAGGAGAATACTGAACAATACAGGAAAATGTTTATGATATGCAGTTAATTCTTTTTTAAAGTATAACAGCATAGTACTATTACATACTCTGGGTGATCAGATCAATTTTTTTGTTTTCTTTATTGTGCTTCCTATATTATTGTTAATTGTCTACAATAAAATATCAAATGTTGTCCAACTGCAAAAGTATTTGAAATGAATAAAGCAAAAAGCAGCACAAGTTGCCAAAGTGCTATTGCTTTGTAAATTGTACATTTCCTTTCAGCATTTAGCATGTTGCCGTGCTACAACATACACTAAAAAAATGTTGACTAAAAGAGTACATAACACCTTAAATGTCTATTAATAACATAAACAGTTCTTAAAGTTTTTTAAACATTTTTAGAAAGAAATACTAACATGAATGATTTACCCACACCAAAGAAAGTTAAGGCACCAGGCAATGTATCACAAAGATCCTATTCATCTCTCTACTTGCCTTTAAGTTTTCAACCTTTTCTTCAAAGGATTTGAAAGTTGGGGAGTTTCTATGGAGAGAAAAGAAAACAAATAGTAAAATTACAAATACTAATAAAAAAAACTAACAATTTTTAAAACATCTTTAGTTGATTATATTCCTCTTCAACATTATTCTCAATCAGCAATATTTATCTGTATCATATGTGTGCAGGCATATATATACAAATATTTGTTATGATGCAAGATTATCAATTTCTGATGCAGTATTTCTAAGAATGTGCTTTTGATTCCATGAAGAGAGCCATTCATAGACATAAATGATATATTAATACATAAGGTCAAGTATACGTGAGAGGAGAGGGAACAAAGCCAGGTAAAACATCAATCCTGTCACTTCCCCAACCAACTGGTCATGGTACAAGAAAATGCCACCATTAGATCAGTTTAACTTTGGTGAAGGTACTATGGTCTAAAACTGTTCAGATTGGCATCTTGCCTGGCAGGATTCCTACGTGAAGCCGTGTCACCCAAGCAAGACAAGCAGACTCTATGTGCTTCCATATCAGGGATCCTAATTCCCAGGGAGCAGCATAATATACAGGGAAAGAAAGGACCAAAAGGAAGGAGGAGCACAGAAACTTGGCTTTGCCTACTTCACAGTGTTGCCCCAACTGACAGAGACCACTCTGAGCCCACAGGACAGGTGCCTTCCATTCATCCATATCAAGTAGGATCATAGCACCTTTGTCTCTCACACATGGGTTTCCAAAGCTGTTATCCTATCTGCCTGACCTTGAATATTCTTCCTACTACCAAGCTGAAAAAGGCCAAAGGGAACAAGGGGTTTCCCTCCTTCCCACAGTGGTGATGGCAGAGAGTGTAGGCGGATGTTTCGCAAAGTGTGGCCCCCAGACCAGCTGCAGCAGCAGCTCTTGGGAACCTTTTAGCAATACCCATTCTCAGGCCCCACCCCAACTCCACAGAATCAGAAACCCTAGGTGTGAAGCCTGGCAAGCAGGGTTTTGACAAGCACTCCAGGTGATTCCGATGTACTGTAAAGTTTAAGCCAAGTACCTATTGTTAAAAATCCTCTGCTTCTCTAGAGAGGTTAGGTGAGGTATTAAAAACAACATGAACCACTTGGCAAATGCTTACTGATAAAAGCAGATAATAGAATGAAATCATGGTTGGCTCCAAATGTCACACTGGGATGAGGGAAGGGAAAATGGGAAGGATGGAAGAAAGGGGGAGCGTAACTAAAGCTAATTCAGACAAAGGTGGTGGGACACCCATATCCAGGAAAAGAGAAGGGTTATTAGACAAGTAGTGCTTACTTTGTCAAGCAAATAGATTTCAGAAATGAAACAAAATAAGGGTTTTACAAAATAAAATAGAAATAATTCTTTGTTTTTAGATCACAAACATTTAATGGATTTCTTGCACCTATGTCAACATTGGAGGAAGAGTAACTGAAAACTGACAGTGTTAAACATGCAGTTTGTTTATAATTCTAGTTGCCTACTTCAGGACAGTTCAGGTTAAACATCTAAGTAAAGAATAAGAAAGCATAAGACCAACTACATTTCATAAAAATATACTTTACCTCATAGCAGGCATGCTAATTGAATGTTGAATGGAGCGTATACTAAGAGGCAGCATTAAAAAGAAATAGAAATGGAGTTAGTATAGTGGCGATTCGACATTATAAAAAGCCAAAAAGACAGCTTTCTAGGAACTTTATTCTTTCAGCACATGAAGAATTAACTATTTTTTGAGGTGGAGGGGATCAAAATTATTCCAATTTAATTTACTTTTATTCAGGAGCCAATTTAATCCGAGTAGTTATTAGAGCTAATAACACAATCTTGCATTTTTGTAGCACTTTGAAAACTGTAAAGTACTTTCATCTGGATCTTTAAGGCATAGAGCATCAAGGCTCCAAAGTTAAATGATTTACCCAAGAGCACAGAAGAATCAAGAATAGGACTTGGGTCTTTGGGACTCCTAATTTGATGTTCACCACCTCCCCTCAAAAATGCAGTGTGCACACATACACACATATACGCGCGCACACACACACACACACACACACACAGGCACTCAAGGCCAGGGAAGGGCTCCTGCGGCCAACTTTCTCTCAGATATTTGTTCCCAGGCCAGAACAGGAAGGTTCCAAAATCAATCACCTATTTGACAACTTTAAGTGATTTTAAAATTACATCTCCTGCCTCAGTAGTAATCTTAAATAGTACCAGTTTTCCAATAAGAAACACTTGTACTTCATCTGCATTAAAGGTCATCTGAATTCAAGGCCATTCAAATAACATTTGGCCTCATCTCCCTAGGACCAACATCTCACTCAAGAATGCAGTGCATTGACTGTTCAAGTTCAAGGTTACCTACTCTTAGCCATCTCCCATAGAAAGCTCCTCACAAGATGACAGTACCTTAATTTGGGGGCTTATAAAATCATTATATTCTGCTGATATTGTTACTTTGCTTATAATATTTGCAACACTGATACAGCTTTTTAGGTAAATAATCTTTCCTTTGGGTAAAATAGATAGTTCAAAGTATTAATTTTCAATTACATTTAAATATTTTGTGTGTTTACAATTTAATTTTCTCAGACTCAATCAATTGTTACAAATGATAATGTTTTGACTATAGCTCCTCAAATCTAGTTTGGTAATATGTGATAACATATTACACAATATGTTAATCTGAGTAGTTATTAGAATAACACAATCTTGCATTTTTGTAGCACTTTGAAAACTGTAAAGCACTTTCATCTGGATCTTTAAGGCATAGAGCATCAAGGCTATGTGATAACATGGAGTATGATCTTGATATACATCAAAATATGCCAACAGTTTGTGTAACCAAGATAATCAATGAAATATTTGGACATCTCTGTACTTGATGCCTTTTATAACATGAAAAGATTGGTGTAACTCAGCATTCTCTCTATCCTACACATTGGTGGTTGATACCCTGGGTATAAGACTATAATTTATTCTGGGAGGAATCTGCTGATTCTTTTTCTACTTGATCTACTAAAGTGTGTTGGTCCCACATTTTAAGGACAGAGGTTAACCAAAAACGTCCTTCTAAATTTACACCACCACAACTCCAATTATCACCTGCTCTTCCTCAGACCCTTCAAAAGAAGCTGCCTGGAACAGCCACATTGCTGCACACTACCCTCCACCACAACTAATACCATAACTGCATCAGTGGAGCACCACCCATCACAGCTAGCCTCCTGGTTTAAAAAAAAAGGAGTTAGGACAATTAAGATTCTTATCCTGGCATATTGTAATTAGGACACGAGGCTGCTAGATGAGTTAGTGGTAGGAACTTCAGCTAGAAAGTTACATAGACTTAGATGTTGAAGGGACCAGGTGAAAGCTGCTAGAACACAGAGGAAGCCGATTCCCAAAGAAAAAATCAAATATAAGCACAGAGAGAGGCAGAGGAAATGAGGGAGAGATGATCGTGCAGGGAACAGGGCAGGGTGGAAGAGGAATGGGTTTCTTAGGTTTCCTTGGTTTCTAGAAGCTACCTGGGTTTCCATGTCAATTTTCCAGTGAGCAGGGCTGATTTAGGTGGGGCCTGGGCTTGCTTCCTTTCCTCTCCTTGGATTACAAAAGAACTTTGTATCTGTGCAACACATTCTCCTTTTCAGTTGAGCTAACTGACATAGTTTTCTGTTCCTAATAACCAAAAGACTCTTCACTAGAATATTCATTTTGGTAGAGATTACCAAATTCTGGCAACAGAGCGTGAGTAATGGCCAAACGTGATAAATCCCTTGTCCATGAGACTCACACGTTGAATTCAATAGTATCAGCAAACTGAGGAAATGGATAAAGTGCAAATTTCAGAAATTCACAGTTAATTCTAGTCACTGTCCCTGAGCACCTACATAAAAGACTGCTTCCTCCAGCAGTCAGTCCTTTGGGTTTTATACCACTTTAACCAGCACTTACTGACTTAATATGTTTATGGTAATATATAAGGAAAGGCAAGGAAGTGATTCAAATAAGGTATTAATTTTGTGAAAAAAATCACTGAGTTAGGTTGTTTTGAGCACTTTTCTGTATGTGTTATATTTTGCTTTATTGTGAGATAAATTACACCCATCAGAGAATGAAATCAATTAACAAAGATTCAAAGTCAAGGTTTCTCTGCTTTTGAGGTAGCCATTTAGGTAGGAAGAACAAGGAGCACATATCGGTTTCAATTCTATCCAGTATTGGATCCTCTCCACAACCAATAATAGATGAAATTACATTTTGTTGGTAGCTAGTTATAATTTAACTATGAGGCCTGTCTCCCTTCTCTATGGTAAATTACACGAAACTTCAACTTGCCTCAACTTGTACGTCATCTCTAATTTCATTCGTTTAAACATAAGATGGAAAACTTCAAAAGCGAAAAGTCAGGCTGCTGCTGGACCAGAAGTACCTCTAACAGACAAGCTGTAAGCATCAGTTACCATGTACAAAGCAAATTTTGTTAAAATTTTTCTACTTTGATTTGTAACCCTCAAATATTTTAATCTGTAGCCAAAGTAGGAACATAAACCTGGGTTCCTCAAAACACTGAGGAAAAAAGAGGACAACCTGATTCTCACTCACAGAGTACTTTTCAATTTTTCACTGTATTTACTTTTACTTTGAAAAAGTTATTCTTTTAAAAAGCTGAGCTGATTTTTTTTAATTTTTCTTATTTCTTACAGTTATTTGATCTTTTCATCCCTAATAATAAGACGGGAGAGGTAGAGGGAGGAGAAGGAAGGAAGTAGTAGCAGATGGAGGAAGAGAAGGAAGAGTTAATGGCTAATATGTTGACGTGCTTATTATGTGCCAGGCATGCTTTTAAGAGGTATCTATCTATTATTATTACATTTTGCCCTCACACAATCTCTTGATATAGGTGATGACAGTGGTTACTGTCCAAAGTAACTGCTGGTAGTGCATAGAGAGGCACTATCTTAAACCATCACTGCTCTGCGGAGGCACAGGAGGAGAGTGCAGGCTTTGGACCTAGGGTGTGCTGGGTTCCAAGCCTGGCCATCAGCTATGTACACCTGCTGTGTGACCTTGGGGAAGTCACTTCAATCTGTAACTCAGTTTCCTCATCTGTGATAGCGAAACAATAATAGCACCTACTTCAGAAGTATTATATATAGTCTTGCCAGGCATACAAGTGGTAACCATCGCTGTTATAAAGGATGATTTTAACTGAAACACAAACTAACATCACTTCATATTAGATTATACTCTTTTAAAGCTTTCCAGTTTCAGCCAGCTCCAAAGCTAACAACCGGAATATATATATTTCTCCCTACCCTCAACTAAGGCATAAGACAAATATCTAAATCCCGTGTTAATTAATTGACTATGTTAAATAACAACTGTTGCTTAGTCTAATACATTCAAGTTGGCAAAACTATTAATAATATATTTTCTTCTTTTATATCCATAACTACATCAGAGAGTAAAATTACTGGTATAAGTTTGTCAGGTAAGATGGACTCAGAACAAACAGTGAGATCGACCGACTATTTCATAGCACTCATTGAAGGAGCCTCCTGCATCCATCTCCACGGGAGAAAAGGACTTGCTGCTGGGATTGAACACTCAAAATCTACGGTCCAAACTCCCTCTCCTTGGACAGTTCTTGGGGGAACATGACTACTATTTGCCTCTGTGACTTACGAGATCTAAAAAGATGTGTTTTTTCTTTATACATATGAACACATTAAATCAGATTACAATCAGGACTTCTCGGCCTAGAAATGATTTTGTAAAGCGACTTTACGTAACCTTTGATCTGTATGAATTACAAAAAGTTTAACTTTCGAAAGATGATCTTACTTCTCTCATTTCCAATTTTTAATCACAAGCCTTGTTTTAACCTCTACATACTGAAATGCAATAAATATTCACTAAAAACAAGACTGAAAATGGTAATGTATAATCGAGATTATATTTTTTAAATGGGAAAAGTGACTAAGGATCCAGAAAAAGAGCATCAAAACTTTTGTTTCTGGTGAATTAATAAGACAGAACATATTGAGCCACACATAGGTACATTTGCTTAATCTTTTTAAAGGTATAAAAAAAGAACTGTGCTATGTACTGATGAAACATAGTCCCCAATAGCCCTTACATATTTTTATATTTTACATTCGTGTTTATATCACATCTAACATCATTTTATAACCAGGTACTAACAGGGCTCTTTTGTTCTTATCTCATCCCAAGACCCCACCTTTCTGCTCCCACTCTGCTCAAAGATTTTAAGCTATAATAAAATCCACATCTGTTTTGTACTTACATCCGTGGGACCTGTCCACAGTAGACACACTAATGTTAGCAGAATGGATTATGTGACTGAATATGTATTCAGTTACCTACAGCATTTAGACCATTTTTAATTGACCACCAGAGATACCCAATCACCTCCTGTCATTGCTAACTTTTTGTTTAAAGCATAATTTTCATTTTAAATAATTCAACATTTAGAGTTTATATATCCTTATGATTTACTCTGACTTCCAGGGCTAAGTGTCACCAAGACAGGAGCTGTAAGTACCTGTTTGCTTCCTTAAGAAGGCAGATAGCTAGATCCCCACAAGTAACTGCTTGAGAAGATAATTTGCATTAATAGGAACAGAGGTAAAGACTACTATATTATCCTTCCTGCTTACACTCTAAAGGCCTTCCTCCACCTTAGTTTCCTCCAACAACTAACTGAATAATCACAGTTTGCAAAGGAGAGAGGGAAGGGGTTTGCTCAACATCACAAAGTCTCTTTCTATAAGGCATGATTTGAGCTAACATCTTCTCAGTGTGCTTTCTTTTTTAGCCTAATATACTTTTTCCTTTTGCAAACCATAAAGTTGCCTTGCGCACATAGTTAAAAGAAATAATAAAGTAATACAAAACTATAAGCTAGTAAAACAAGTATTGAAAAATGCCATATAATGGCAAATTTTATCTTATGTACATTTTACCACAATTACAAAAAAAAAGTAGGGTAACCCATATAAGATGGAAGACTAATAGCATGAGGCAGTACATATGCACTCTATTATAACTGCATAATAAGACCCAGGTGAAGAATTCCAACATCCTCACAAAAGCACCAAAGAAACAAAAGCATCAAAAACAAACAAACAAAGTCAGACATTAAAAGGGAGGAATTCTGCATGCCATGGTAAAGCTGCTTCTTTTTACCAAAAAAAAAAAAAAAAAAAAACCAAGTAAAAAAGAAACATCAAAATCATTTCCATATCCCTTGAACTACTGTGTCAAATATTTCTTTTAATTTATACATTACTCATGGTATACAAGAAATCCTCCCTTGAAATTAGGACTGCACTAGAGAAAAAGATACTCCAAATGCAAGAAAATTATGTAGTGGACAAACAAGACCATCCAACATGGCATAATCATCTAATCTCAGCATACTTGTCTTAAGCAACTGCTAGACTGCAGTGATGGTTCAAACTCTCCTTACCTAAAGGAATGTGAAAAGGCTTGCAATCTGTAAGAAGCCAGAGTAAGCATTAAAAAAGAAAGGAAGTTCTGATAAATCTAAAACAATTAAATAACCTACTTTTAAAAAGTTGTATAATGTTTTACCTGGGCTCTAAAGTACTACACAATTCAGTCAGCATAAAAAGAAATGAGAGCACCTAACAGATGTATATATAATTGTCAAAAGAGTTCAAGAAAGCTATCATTTATTACATTACGCTCAGAATGATGATAGTCCAAATGTAACAAGCAAGGAATTTAGTTCTTTTGGTGCAAAGTATAACACATTAATTGACCTATTCAACTGACAAAATTCTGGTTGTAAAATCTACTTTCCCCACAAATGAAAAACACAAAGCCATGCAATCTGAGCATTTGTCATGTTTTATTTTGTTTTAAAACACACATCTTGCATGCCAACAGAAGCACAGCTGACTTAAACCACGTTTGTCACTGGCGGCAATATTCTAATCCACAAGGGTAGAGGGGGACACAAAAGTACTGTGAAGTGGTTTTGTCAAAATGGCAAGGAAAATTCTGCGGACTAATCTAAATACAGATGGCAAATAAAAAGCAATGGCTCAAAATTAAGATTTGGGCCTAAGCATGATGGAGATATGGCTCATAGGTTAGTACAAATCAGTGCACAAATGGGCATGTTGTAATCACATCATGGTATAAAAATGTCATGCACAGAAAGTAAAGCCAGGCCTCAATCCAAGTGTGCACTTCAGTGCTCCTGTACTCCTCCCCAGTAAGACACCAGGCTCTGCCCACAATCACATGTTTGCAACCACCAGAGACATACTTACCCTGATGATCATGAAGGACTAAAAATGAGACACGAAAGTTCACAACCAGAATTTTTCAACAACCTTAAGTGGATTCATCAGATGATCATTTTGAAGTTAGAATGCTATGCCTACGAGAAGTGAGGCAAGCATTTCGGGTCCTGGTTTGAAGGAGAGTTCTCCCTCACGCTAACGGAAGAATCCAGCATCGGCCAAGAGCCGAAGTCAGGAAACAAATGCAACCACAATAACAGTTTAATTTGCCTTAGCTACTTAGTAAGCAAGGAAAAGTGAAGACATACTTTACATCTTCCAGCTTTTTGGTGATGACGGAGCCAACAGATGAAAAAGCAGCTGAAGCCTTCTGTCCAGCCTGAGTCAAGGTTTCTGATGTCTTCTTGTATCTGTTATGAAATTATAAACAAACAGAGCAAAGTCAGCTAACTTTCCAGTATCAATTATTTCAAGTGCAGTGGTCACCACCTATTGGAGAACTCTTTAAAAAAGTATTCTTAACGACTTCTAAAATCCTTCCTAACTACCTGGGCAGCATCATCACATCACCTTAAACTTTAACCATCATTTCAGGCACAATGTTCTGCGGTACTCTAGTCCAGCTGGAAAGACAGAGGCCTAGCAAGGCAGGGCCCATGAAGTCAGGGTGAGGGCTAAAAACAGTCATGGAACAAAAATGAAAACGAGCCAAAATGTGAAAGAAATTATACCTCCTGTTTCTTCCTTTTTCATGTAAGCCAAACAAAACAAAAATGAAATCAAATTCCTCAGATGCCTTCACAACTTGATCTACTAAAAAAGGGGCCAGAAGCAAGAAGCAGGTTGGGATGAGCAGGACCCATGTGTATTTTATTATCCAAATATTCTTTATGGGGATAAAGAATTTTTTAAAATTTTGCATGTATGCATAGCTACCAAATAAGGACTTGCTGGACTCTGAACAGAGCGTGTAAAAGACACAATACTTAAAATGATTCTGGTGTGATACCTGCTATAACGCAAAGATATAATTTACCACCTCCTTCCCAGTACCCAGGGATTGGAGAAGGAAAAAAAAAAAAAAAACCACCACTGAAAACAAAAACAAACAAACAAAAAAAAACAGAACAAAAGAATATGGTATCTACCGAAAAGGTTAAGACCCCCATATTATGGAAATGAATGCTCAGGCACTTTTACTTACTCTACCAAGATCAAATACCAAGAACAAATGAGGTTTATAGTAATACAGTCAAAGACTAGTTTCCTGCATGTTTTCCTGTTGCCAACTTACATGGATAGAAAATGGACTAAAAGAGTGGGCACCCGAGTACTGTCATGTTGGATGCAGTTGGCCTCACTGCTGACAGTTAAATTGTAAAACAACTCTAAGCTCACCAGCTCAGCAGATGGGCCTGAATACAGGAGACAGAGCAGTTCAGAATCTGTTGCTAGAAGCTTGCTCCTCCTTGTGCCAGGAAATGAAACTGCATTATGATAATGCTATAACATACTATGTTGATCAAAAAGATAAAAAGCTTAAGAGATTGGACTCTGCCATGAGCACATATCAGAGACAGTAACCCAAGAATCTTATAACACATACAGAGCAGGGTAGGAAAAAAAAAAACATATCTATATATATATAGGTTGCAGACCTGAGTTCAAACCCTGACTCCACATTTTGAGAGGTGCATGACCTCAAAAGTTATCTGAGCCTGTTTTCTTAGCTAGGGTGATATCATCACGCACTCCACTGGGTTATCCTGAGGATTAAATGACACGATGTATATATTCGGCAAGTAAATATATATATAACATTTTTGGAACTTGAATTTTATTTATTCAACTGACATATGAGGCTGGTTTTCTTTCTATTCCCTGGAACAAATGATCGAGAAAACCAAAGTTATAAAAGAGGCAGGTACACTTGAGAATTGGAAAGAAAATGCCCCGTGTGGTCCAAAGAAAAGCTGCAGAAGCATCCTCATCCTCTTTCTCTTGTCCTCCCGAGATGAGCAAAAGTATCCCTTACATTCCCTAGAAAAACGTATAATCAAGGGAACATACGCAGATGTTGCTGTCACATCTTGCCACCCTTTGGCAATGTTCTGTTTTAGCTCCTGCAGTGAACTGATTCCAAGTTTCCGCTTGATCTCTGCTAGGTGCTTCTCTTTCGCTGCTAACACTTGAGACAGAGTCTGGATTTCTTCTTCTACCTACAAGGAAGGGGGTTAGAGTGGGATAACAGCAAGAGTAATTCAGTAAGTTAAGATTGTAAGTGCAAAACTATACCCAAAACTGTAGAGTCATTTTTAAAGCTTTTTTTTTCAGTTTATCTTTCTATTTAAAAACATATAATGTTAAGTAAACTGGTTACATGCTGATTTCCCCCGTACAGCTTCTCTTTTCTCTTCCATGATAGCTCTTCATATTCCCGTCTTCAAGTGTCCTTGGCCTTCTCCCCTCTCCCTATACTTCCTCACTTAGCCACCCGTAGGTTTAGGGCTCAAACCCTCTATACAGAGAATACTCAAATAACTGTAACATCTACTCTCCTGACCTCTGGGTCCACCTTTCCAGCTAGACATTTCTACTTAGATGCCCAGGAAAACTCATATTTGTATACCAAATCCAAATAATGTCCATCCCCCACCAAAATGCACACAATCAAGCCAAACCCACATCCAACCTTCTTACATATTTCATATGACTTCATACTAGATATGTCAGTTCCAGTGTCTGCGAAAGCCACAGCCATAACAAATCAAACTGCCTCTTCCCCGTGTGGACCTGTTATTGCTGATGGCCCAGACTCAGCCGAGCAGTTAGAGGTGGGCCCGTGACCCAAGGACAGCCACCCATCAAGTGGCCAGGAACCAGTGATGAGCCTGGTGTGAAAAGAGGTACTCAACTAACCAGTCTCTCTCATCCAGGAACACGGTTTGAGAACTGGGATGACACTGAGTGGAAGACGGAGAAACTTGAAGTCAGACGCCTTGAAGGATAGGTAGGACACAGTGAGATGATGAGATGTTGTGGAAAGCTTAAACATACTTAAGGAAGCCAAAATGGCAGCGGAAGCTATGAAGACAAGAAAAAGACTGGCAGAGTAGAAGAAACAACTCAACAGCAAAAAAAACCAAAACCAAAACAAACAAACAAAAAAAACCCCCACAACCAATCCAATTAATTATTCTTTTAATTGCTATGTAAACATCTCCGCAGGAGAGAGATTCATGTTGCTAACCTTAGAGGCAGGGTTTATGCTACTCTAAGTGGCTGCCAGTTAGAAATTTATTTTCTTGTTAGCCCGTTAGCATGACCGTTCTTTCACCGGCAAAAAGGGTAGACAAGATGGCTGACTAGAGACATCAGTCGCCAGATCATCTCAGAAAGAAGAGAAAGTTTCAGATGAAAAAGCATAGCCCAGGTGTAATTCTGAGGGAAGAGTGCCAGAACCTACTGGAGATCCCACAGGAAGAAGTTGCGGAGTAGAAGAGATTTCAGCAGAAATCGACTCCCAGGGAATTTGGAGCCCCATGGAAAGGGTAGGTTGGGTGTTTGTTTCCCCCTCCCCCACCCCTCTTGCAGGCTGCAGGCTCGTGAACTGCAGGAGAGGCCCTCTACCTGCACAAGCCCGAGTGCTGCTGCCATTAGTGAACTGAGAGCTTCTAGAAAACAGAGGACCAGGCCGCCAGCCCTCTGGGGGTCACTCCCCCTTCACCACAGACCTGAGTGGAGGCAATGGGTGCCAAACTGTTTTTCCACCCATTGTGTGCCTTTGTTCTCCCCAGGGAGCTTCAGCCCTTCAGCTCTCCTCACTAAATCCCACACGAACATTGCCCAAAATCTGCTCGGACTGCAGTAGCCACAGGGGCCTGGTAGGTCCTGGGGATCTGTGTGATCCCAGAGCTTGGACACTCAGGGCAGGCCGCCTTCAGGGGAGAGGAGAGTGCAGCACACTAGGGGGGCCCTCAGGACAAAGGGACAAAAGTCCCAGTTCTCCTCCATTCCAAATCCTCTCCTCCTCCCCTCCCGCACCCACTGCTGCTAATGCAGCCCTGGCGGTTCCGTGTGGGGTCAACACAGATGCCTCAAGGGATGATTAAGCCAGGGCACTTGGGGGACCACACCCAGGCTTCCACAGAGAGTGGGGCTCACACCTTTCCCCTTAAAAGCCCACAGTGGACAGAGGGGTGCTGGGACTATGAGCTCTCCACCGACCAGCCCCAGTGCCACCTGCCTGGCTGCTCTAGCAGAGCAGGGCATACCCCAAGGTGCAGGAACATTAAGCCTGCCTGAGTACTCCATGGGCAACTTGGGACCACATACTTCTCCCTGGCACAGTCAGGGATTGAACTCAAGGGATCAGAGGACAGGTCCACAGGCCAGATCCTGTACCCGCAGGACTAGATCGTGTCATTTAGGGATACAGAGGAGAGATGTGTGAACTGATCCTGAGAGAGGAGGGAATCCAGGTGGGCAGAATCAAAAGGAGAGTGTGGTGTGCGTCTAAGCTGCAGCACACTTGCAGAGTACCTCTTCCCCCACAGGAAAGCCATGCTTTTAGTCCAGGCTGGGTACTGGGCAGAGAAGCTTGCAGCCTTCAGCAGCATTGTTGATAAGCTGGTTTGGGCTGCTGCTTGTGGCCAGATGCTGGAGGGAGATCTGCAGGGAAGGGAAGTAGCAGAAGAGTGAAATCCACTCCCACCTGCTGGACTGTGAATTTCAGACTGCCCCTCCCTGACAAGCAGACTTTTTAGCCCAGTGGGGCTGACTCAGACCCTCCCCGGTGGCTTTCCCCAGCAGCCCAGAGGCAACCCCTGACCTCTGCTGAGACAGCTCTTGTGCCCACCTTTGTGGAGCCTGAACAGTGGCTCACCCAACCCACTCTTGCCCAGCCTCACTCCTCCACCCACTTCTGCTATGGATGAGAATAAGGAGTCCCCTGGGAGCTCCAGGGCCTCACCCACCACCTGGGACATCCCAACCCTTCTCCTGATTGAGTAGAGCCAGACACAGACCCCCAAAATACCACCACAAAAAACCACAACTGGCTTTCTCCTATAAGCAAGCGCCTTCCACAAATGGAAACCCAAAACAAGTAGGAGTAGATATTCTTATATCAGATAAAACAGACTTTAAATCAACAACACTGGAAAAAGACAAAGACGGTCATTATATGATGATCAAGGGATCAATTCAACAAGAAGATACAACAATCCTAAATATGTATGCACCTAACACCGGAACTCCCATATTCATAAAACAAATACTACTAGACCTAAGAAAACAAATAAAGAGTAACATAATAATAGTAGGAGATTTCAACTCCACTGACAGAACTGAACAGATCATCGAGGAAGAAAATCAACAAAGAAACACTGGACTTAAATGAGACACCAGAAAAAATAGACCTAACAGACATTTACAGAACATTCTACCCAAACCACAGGATACAAATTCTTCTCATCAGCACGTGTCATATTCTACAAAGCAGACCATATGTTAGGTCACAAAAACAAAGTCTTGGCAAATTTTAAAAATCGAAATCATACCAGAGATCTTCTTAGGTCATAGTGGAATAACACTAGACGTCAGTTCCAAGAGGAACTCTCAAAACAAAACAAATTCATAAAAATTAAATAACCTGAGTCAACAAGGCTATCAAGATGGAAATCAAAAAATTTTTTAATTGAATGACAATGGTGACAGAAGCTATCAAAAAAATCTCTGGAATATAGCAAAAGCAGTGCCAAGAGGGAAATTCATAACACTAAATGCCTACATTTAGATGAGCACTGATTCTGTCTGGAACCATCACCTTGTCCAGTCCTATCATCCAGCCTCCCTCTGCCCAGCAATCACACCTGTGGAATGGGCAGAGCCCTGTGGCCCTCCACTACAGACCTGCTTTCCGATTCTGGATCCTTGAGTACAACCCAGTTTCTCACTCCTCCTTCCCTCCTCTCTTGTTCCTCCAGCTTTTCTGTGTTCACAGGGCTGCCAACCCTGCAGAGGAGGGGTATTAACAAAATCCAATATCCCTTCATGATAAAAAACCTCAACAAACTAGGCATAGAAGTAACATATTTCAAAATAATAAAAGCCATTGGTAACAAACCTATAGCCAACATCCTACTGAATGGAGAAAAGTTGAAAGCATTCCCCCTAAGAAATAGAAAAAGACAAAGATGCCCACTGTCACAACTTCCATTCAACATAGTGCTGGAAGTCCTACCCGGAGCAGCCAGGCAAGAGAAAGAAAGAAACGGTATCCAGATTGGGAAAGAGGAGGTCAAAGTATCACTTTTCACTGATGATATGGTCTTATATCTAGGAAACCCCAAAGACTCTACCAAGAAACTCCTGGAACTGATTAAATCAGCAAAGTCTCAGGTTACAAAATCAATGTACACAAATCAGTAGCATTTCTGTATACCAATAACAGTCAAGCTGAGAGTCAAATCAAAGACTCAATACCATTCACAATAGCTACAAAGAAAATAAAATACCTAGGAATATACTTAACCATGGAGGTGAAAGATCTCCACAAAGAGAACTATGAAACACTGAGGAAAGAAATCGCAGAAGACAAACAAATGGAAAAATGTATCATGCTCATGGATTGGTAGAATCGACATTGTTAAAATGTCCATAGTACCCAAAGTGATTTACAGATTCAATGCAATCCCCATGAAAATACCAACAACGTATTTTACAGATCTAGAAAAAATAATTCTATGCTTCATCTGGAAACAAAAAAGAACCCGAATAACCAAAGCAATCTTAAGCAAAAAGAACAAATCTGGAGGCATCATATCACCAGACTTCAAACTATACCACAAGGCTATAATAACCAAAACAGCATGGTACTGACACAAAAATAGAGACATAGAGCAATATAATAGAACAGAAAATACATATATAAAACCATCCGCATACAGCCAACTGATCTTTGACAAAGCAGAAAACAATATACACTGGTGAAAAGAAGTCCTATTCAATAAATGGTACTGGGACAACTGGAGTTCCATTCTTAAGAATGAAGCAGGATCCATCTCTCTCATCACTCACACAAATTAATTCAAGATAGATAAAAACACTTAAATGTAAGCCATGAAACCATGAAGATTCTACAAGAAAATGTTGGGAAAACTCTTCTAGATATTGGCCTAGGCAAAGAATTTATGAAGACGACCCCAATGGCAATTACAAAAACAAATAAATGGGACTTGATTAAATTAAAGAGCTTCTGCATGGCTGAGGAAACAATCAAAAGAGTAAATAAATAACGTATAGAATGAGAGAAAACATTTGCAAACTATACATCTGATACAGGACTAATATCCAGAATCCCCAAAGAACTCAAACGAATAAGCAAGAAAAAGATAAACAATCATGTTAAAAAGAAGGCAAAAAACATGAACAGAAACTTTCAAAAGAGAATAAATGGCCAATAAACATATGAAAAAATATTCAACATCACTAATCATCAGGGAAATGCAAATTAAAACCACAATGAGCTATCACTTTACCCCTGTATGAATGCCTTTTATTAAAAAGTCCAAAAATAATAGATGCTGGAGTAGATGCAGAGAGAAAGGAACGCTTATACACTGTTGGTGGAACTGCAAATTAGCACAGCCTCTATGGAAAACAGTATGGAGATTTCTGAAAGAACTAAACGTCCATCAACTGACGAACAGATAAACGAAATGCGGTATGTCCATAAAATGGAATCTTCTTTGGCCATAAAAAGGAAGTACTGATATGTGCTACAACATGGATAAAACATTATACTTGAAAGTTTTCCCCCTAAGATCAGGAAAAAAGACAGGGATGCTCGCTTTCACCACTGTTATTCAACATTGTACTGGAAGTTTCAACCAGAACAATTACGCAAGAAAAATAAGTAAGAGGCACCCAAACTGGAAAGGAAAATTAAAACTATTATTTAATCACATATGGCATGATTTTATGTATAGAAAATCCTAAATAATCCACAAAAAAAATTCAAGCTCATAAATTCAGTAAAGCTACAGAATACAAGATCAACATGTCAAATTCAGTTGTATTTCTACAATAGCAATAAATAATCTGAAAAGGAAATTTAAAAAACAATTCCATTTATAATCACATCAAAAAGAATAAAATATTTAGGAATAAATGTAACTAAGAAATATAAGACTTGTAGACAGAAAACTATAAAACATTGCTCAAAGAAATCGGCCAGGTGTGGTGGCTCACACCTGTAATCCTAGCACTCTGGGAGGCCAAGGAGGGCGGATCATTTGAGCTCAGGAGTTCAAGACAAGCCTGAGCAAGAGCGAGACCTCGTCTCTACTAAAAAAAAAAAAAAAAATAGAAAGAAATTAGCTGGACAACTAAAAATACATATATAAAAAAATTAGCCAGGCATGGTGGCACATGCCTGTAGTCCCAGCTACTCAGGAGGCTGAGGCAGGAGGATTCCTTGAGCCCAGGAGTTTGAGGTTGCTGTGAGCTAGGCTGACGCCACGGCACTCTAGCCCAAGCAACAGAGTGAGACTCTGTCTCAAAAAAAAAAAAAAAAGATAAAAAATAAAATAAAATAAAAACATTGCTCAAAGAAATCAAAGAAGACTTAAATAAATGGCAAGATATTCCATGGTCATGTATTAGAAGACTTAATATTGTTAAGATAGTGATATTCACCAAATCAACTTACAAATTCAATGCAAGCCCTATCAAAATCCTAATGGCCTTTTCTGGGGGGTGGAAAAGCAGATTCTGAAATGCATATGTAATTGCAACAGATCCTGAATAACAATTTTGAAAATGAAGAAAAAGGTAGAGGACTTGTAGATTTCAAAACTTACCTCAAAGCTAAAGTAATCAAAAGAGGGTGGTACTGTCATAAGAACAGACACATAGACAAATGTAATAGAATTGAGAGTCCAGCAACAAACCCATGCATCTATAATCTATGGTTTACTGATGTTTTTGTCTGTTTGTTTGTTTTACAAGAATGCCAAGAATATTCACTTGGGAAAGAATATTCTTATCAGTAAATGGTGCTGGGAAAACTAAATATTCACATGTGAAAGAATGAAGTTAGACCCCTACCGCAAACCACATACAAAAATTAAAATATATCAAGGGCTTAAATGTACCAGCAAACACTATAAAAGTCTTAGAAGAAAACACAGGGAATCTTCATGATCTGGGATTTGGAAAAGCACACACAACTGAAGAAAAAAGTAAATCAGACTTCATCAAAATTTAAAACTTCTGTGCAAAAAAAATGGTAAACTAATACCTCTTGTATGAACCTGGATGTAGCTGGAGCCCATTCTTCTTTTTTTTCTTTTTTTTTGAGACAGAGTGTCACTCTGTTGCCCCGGGTAGAGTGCCGTGGTGTCAGCTCACAGCAACCTCAAACTCCTGGGCTCAAGCGATCCTACTGCCTCAGCCTCCCAAGTAGCTGGGACTACAGGCATGCGCCACCATGCCCGGCTAATTTTTCTATGTATATTTTTAGTTGTCCAGCTAATTTCTTTCTATTTTTTTTTTAGTAGAGATGGAGTCTCACTCTTGCTCAGGCTGGTCCCAAACTCCTGAGCTCAAACAATCCGCCCGCCTTGGCCTCCCAGAGTGCTAGGATTACAGGAGTGAGCCACCACACCCGGCTAAGCCCGTTCTTCTAAATAAAGTATCACAAGAATGGAAAACAAACACCATATGGATTTACCATTAAATGGAACTAATAGATCAACACTTATGTGCACATATGGAAATAACATTCATTGGAAATCAAGCAAGTGTGGGGGAGATGGGTAAATTCATACCTAACAGGTACAATGCACATTATCTGGGGGATGGGCACACTTAAAACTTTGACTCAAACCGTACAAAAACAATTTATGTAACCAAAACATTTGTACCCCTGTAATATTCTGAAATTTTAAAAAAAACTTCTGTGTATCGAAGAACACTATGAAGAAAGTAAAAAGATAAACTAGAGAATAAGAGAAAATGTTTGCAAATCATGTATCTGATAATTTTTCAAAATTGTTACTCAGGATATATGATAAGGGTCTAGTACCCAGAATATGTATATAACTCATACATTTCAGCAGACAATCTGATGTTAAAAATGGGCAAATGACTCAACATTTCTCCAAAGAAGATATACAAATGACCAATAAGCACATCAAAAGATGCTCAATATCATTAGTCATGAGAGAAATACAAATTGAAAACCACAATGAGATACCACTTCACACCCACTAGGATGATTATCATTAAAAAGACAGAAAATAACAAATATTGCCAAGGATGTGGAAAAATGGGTGATAGGAACGTAAAATGGCATCACTGCTATGGAAAACAGTTTGACAGTTCCCCCCGAAAAAGTTAAGTCAGAACCATATGGCAAAGGCAATTCCACTTCTAGATATATATGCAAAAGAACTAAAACTAGGTATTCAGACAAGTATTTGTACATAAATATTCCTAGCTAACTATGCACACAGTCAAAAGGTGGAACCCAACCAAATGTCTATCAGCAGATGAATGGATAAAGTGCAGCAGACACACACAATGGAGTATTATTCAGCCGTAAGAAGGAATAAAGTGCTGAGACATACTACAACATGGATAAACGTCAAAAACATTATGCTAAGTGAAAAGCCAGATACAAAATTGTATGATTTGTAACATAATGTATCATTCCATTTATATAAAAATCCAAAAATAGTTAAATCCAGAGAGTCGGAAAGTAGATTAGCTGTAGTCAGGAGCTGAGGGAGTGGAGACTAGGCTTAATGAGTACAAGGGTCTCCTTTAGAGGTAAAAAAAAAAACAAAAAAAAACATGTGGAACTTGAAAGAGGTGATAATTGCACAACACTGTGAATATGTTAAGTGCCACTAAACTGTACATTTTAAAATAGTTAATTTTACCTTACGTGAATTTCTTGGAAGAAAGGAAATTAGGAAAGAAGGAGGGAGGGAAGAAGGAAATTGGAACAAAGGCAGTTGGAAGGAAGGAAGGAAGGAAGGAAGGAAGGAAGGAAGGAAAGAAGGAAGGAAAGGAGGGAGGGAGGGAGGAAGGATGTTTAAAAGTGCCTATCTCCACAACACAGCCAAGGATAGAATAAAGTCACTGATGCAGCTGAAGAGTCGAGTGCATCAGACATCAGTGAGGTTGCCTGGAAGATATTCCTAGAACTCCTCTCATCCATTTTCTACTTTACGACCTACTTTTCAGATCCACTTTACCCATATATACATTTCTCATATAAAAACAAACTTCTCTGAGGCAGGAGGATCACTTAAGTCCAGGAGTTCAAGACTAGCATGGACAATACAGCAAGACCCCATCTCTAAAAAAAAAAAAAAAAAGGAAAGAAAAGAAAAAAAATTCTTTTTTAATTAGCCAGGAGCGGTGCTATGCATCTGTAGTCCCAGCTAGTCAAAAGACTGCGGTGGGAAGCCCAGAAGTTCAAGGCTGCAGTGAGCTATGATTGTACCACTGTACCCTAGCCTGGGCAACAGAGTGAGACTCCATCTCTTTTTTATAAAAAAAAAACTTCTATCACCCTCTTCTATCTCCTTTCCCCTACTCAAGACCTCTAGGACAAACAAACACATGGTGCTTTTTCTCCCCAGAAACTGACTGTATCAGTCACCACGTGCTTTAGAAATACAAACGATGGTACATTTAAAGTTCCAAAAGAAACGATTCTTTGCCTTTGCAAGTTCTCTTCTTAGCTCTTCTCGCTCCTCTTCTGATAGGGTCTCTGTAGTACTGATTGTGGCAGCAACATCTTCTCCTTCCTCAGGGACTGGGTCTGTTCTCAGCAGACCTTTTTGGGGATTTAAAAAGAAAAATGTGTAAGGCATGAAAGCGAAGTAAAATTCTCCTTTAGGCTTCTCCACTGTCCCAGCCAGAATAAAGCCAATTAGGTTAGATCCACACATCACCTTTCTGGACCTTCAAATGACCCGGCTCTCCCGGTGAAGGACAAAAGAAAAGTCCAAGCAAACTACTAGAAACCACCAACTTAGACTCTGCCAAAATAATAGTTTAGAAAATACAGCATTCTTTCAGCTTCTGTTCAGTCTCGGTCACAATATAGTTACTACAGAGCAGAACGGGCAGAGGCCCAGAATGGGATCTTGCCAAGGCTTTCAAATGCTGCATGAGTAAATCAGTAAAAATTAGATGCAAGATTTTAGCCCCTTCACGACCTGGAGGAGGAGTTTGTACATGTCTTCAATTTCCTGTGCTGATCAAACCTAACATGAAAGAGCAACCACTGAAAGAACGAGATGCCCTCAAGAAATCTTTATTCCATTTCTTTCCATTAGTTAGTGTAGGTAAGAAACACCTTATTGTAGCTTTTTAAAAACATATCTCATCTAGATACCTTTAAAAAAGAATCCTAGTGTATATATTCAGAGACTGACTGATCAACAGCCGCATAGAGATTTTCCACATTAAGACCAATCCCACAGCCCCCGGTCCCTGGCACAGAGCCCATCGGGAGGGACTCCGTGTTTCTGGAGAGTGGCCAGGGAGACAGCTGCTCCTCGACTCTCCCCTCGCTTCCTGCCCAACCCCCATCTGCGAGGCTACGACGAAGCCAGAGAAGCACCCAAACCTTGGGTGCAAAATTGAAGGGGCCACCAAAACATTCAATATAAATATTTTGATGCAATATTTTTTTAAAAATCAAAGTTAATTCAAAAAAATCCATGATGAACAAAATACCAAAATTTTAAATAGACAGGATCAGTTTGCTGATATTTCCCTTTGCCTCGGGCTCCAAAATGGCTCTGCACATACAGCACTGGTACTGATCCTGTCTTTATTTAAAATTGTGATATTTTATTCATCATGGATTTTTTTGCATTCATTTTGACTTTTTAAAAATACTGTATTGACATATCATTTGATGCCTGAGCTTTTTGGCACCCCTTAAATTTTATGCCTGAGACAAGTGCTTACTGGCCTCAGTTGCCTTACCCTAGCCCCGATTCTGCCCATCCATTTTCATGTCACAGGTTTGGGATTTCACAGGAGCCTATGGCAACAGATTTTTTGTATAGGGGACCAGAGAAAGGTTTCCCTCTCTACCTGCTATTCACCTCTTCCTGCCAGGGAGTATCTCAGCCATTGCGACTGTTCCCCAACACCTCCCAGGACCATTCTGAGAAGTGCCAGTTCAGCCAAAGCAGCAATGTGGCATCCTGCCCAAAGCAAGACGCCAGGCAGCTGATGCAGACAAGAAAAACCGAGGAGAATAACCACACTGTTGAACAAGCAGCCAGCATCATGGCAAACATAAGAGAACTGTATGCATCAATGAGATAATGTGTATGTACATTGTGTACAAGATACAAAGGCACTTGGTACAGCATCTATTGTATACTAACTGCTTCGTGGTAGTTAATAATTATAATAACAATAATCACCAGCATGACAGTACCAAAACAGTGGCTACCTGGAAAGTGTTTACAGAATTGTTAAAGGCATAACGTAATACAAATAAAACAATTCAAAATCTACAAGCTGGACTGGCACACACAATATGATTAAGCTCTTGAATGCAGCACACACAATACTTGACAGATACAGTCAATAGGTAGAAAAGCTCAATGAATAATTGCTTCTGTGATCTCCTCTAAAATATATTCGAAGGGACTGCCCAAGTAAATTTCTATGATAGAAATCTGAAGAACAAAAACGATATGTGCTCACTACTAAATTGAAACTTATAGATCAACACTCAGGTGCACATATGGCAGTAAAATTCAACAGAAATCAAGCAGGTGGGAGGCGGGAGGAGGCGAATGGCTAAATTCACACCTAACAGGTATAATGCACACTATATGGGTGAGGGACACATTTATAACTTTGACTCAAACTATACAAATGCAATTCATGTAAGCAAAACGTTTATACCCCTGTAATACTCTGAAATTAAAAAAAAAGGAAATCTGATCATGTCCCCTTTCAGCTTAAAATCCTTTAGTGGTTCCTTACTGTTCATTACTGTTTTCACAACAAAGTTCAGCCCCTTAGGTTGGCACACAAGCCTGACTGGACCCATCTCCTATCTGGCATTGGCACCTCTTATTCCAACTCCTGCCAAATCAAACTGTGACCAAGGTGCTGCACCGTGTACTATCAGAAACCATTTCCGAGGAGCCATGCGTGCTTGCAAATTTATCCTGTATATCATATTCTTTGACAAAAAGAGCATGAAATTGAGGATGGCAGACAAGCATACAAGTAACGATCATATAAGGCAATGTAGTAAGAACCATTACAGAGTCACCTATAAACACTCTTCATTTTATTTTTAATGTTTTGCTCAGCACTTCCAAGGTTTCCAACTAGAACAGGACCCAAAAATAAAATAAAATAAAACTCAAGTACTAAACCATGCCTTTAACAGCACAGATTCTTTTATGCTTTTTAATAAACATTATTTTGTAAATCTACTTAAATAAGGGGAAAAATACAATATCTGATTGCTAATGGTGCTTTATGCATACTGCCCAATTCCAAAGAGAATCTAAGAGGATTCTGATACTATTCAAGTATTCAGTTAGGCTCCCAAGGAAAATAAATCTCTCATAACCACACTGGTTGAGTCTCAAGAAAAAATAAATAAAGAAAGAAAATAAATCTCTCAGAGAAGGAGACTACGGAGTTACCCACAGTTGGCTTCAGGAATGCCAAGATGCCTCTGAGATTTTATATTCAACGTCTTAAGAAGGATGGTAATTACATGTTCTGGTTTTTTACATTAGCCTGTAGGTGGCAGCAAATTATCAACATTAAATTTTAAAGGTATTTTTAAGATAATCAACTGGGAGAAAAATCAGAAAATAAAGGACACGAACGAAGAAGAGAATGATAAAAGCCAACATCACCAGCAAAACATGACAGTCACGCCTTAGGAAAATTATTAGCCACAGCCATCACCGACACTACCGAGTGCATTCTATTCATATCCGAATCTGAGCTAAGTGGTCCAAATATATTAAGTCATTTACATGCAACATTTCTACGAGGCTGGATCACTGTCACCATTCACAGGTGAGGAAACTGTACCTTACAAAAGTTAAGAAGTTTGCCCAAGGTGACACACCTGAATATGTGGTAGAGTCAGGATTTTGAACCCAGTGTGATTTGGAAGCAAATGCTTCAAATCATTGATCTGAAAACAAAGACAAAAAGTAAGGGGCAGGTCAGACTTGGAGGGTACCTAAAAGCAATAATAAAAATAAGACACTGTAAAAAAAAAAAATAGTCAAATCTGGCAGACTAGATCAAAGCAGTCCTCATCGTTTCCAACTCTACAGTTTCTCCAAACCAGGGAATCCAAATCTTGCCTTATATATTTTTCTACATATTATGTTTCCTGTATATTCAATAATAGTATGGTATTTAATATGAAAGTAGAGTCTGGCTGTTGGGAGAAAAGATATTAATTTCTCATTCACAACATGAAAGGTGGGAAATAGGAACATTTTAAAGTACAGAATATTTAAAACCATAAATAATCCGAAAAATTCTATTTGTTCATTAATTTTAATGTTTCCTTTCAGAATCTGATAGAAAGTGGTTTTTAAAAGACAAAGAAGGGGGAAACATATGATTAATATTTATTAACGTCTAATATATCAGCTACTAGAAAGGGAGACTTAGATGTTACCTCATAAAAACAAAAACACCTTACAACCAACACCCGAGAGGAGGAGGAGTGCTTATTTCCATTAGGAAACTGAGGTCCTCTGAGGTTACATAACTTGCCCAGAGTCACGAAGGTGAGATTAAAACTCAAATCTTTCTGACTGTAGACTCCTGCTTCTTCACGCTACCTTTTCTTAGAGAAATGTCAATGAGCAGGGCAGGACAAGGAATCAGTGCTTTCTTTCTCCACAGGGACTTTTTACTTCCCTGAAGGTATGAGAACTTGTAATCCCTGGTTGGGGAGTCACAGGTAACAGTATCAAACCCAAGTAAGTAAAAATTAGTGACAATCTGTTCCAGGAGGTTAACATTTTAGCCACTGCCTTAATTGTTCTTCGCCTAGTTGTGCAAGCAGATTGTCAGCCTGTCTTAATTCTGTCCATAATATCCCTCCCCACGCACACACCCCACCCTTGAATAGTTTTACACAAAAGAGTGACAAGTCTAGACTTGCCTTTTGGAAAGTCCTTCCAGCAGCAGGGTGGAGGGTGGCCTGGACTGGGAAGAACCTGGAGCCCAGTGACAGGGCGACTGCTGGATGCGCAGGGGAGAGCCCCAGCATCTTGGCAGTGAGAATGAAGAAGACAGAGATGTGCCCCATCAACCTGAAGATACATTTTACATCTGTGAGATGCACTGTAGGATTCATCAGCCCAGCAGTGGTTGTGACATAGTTGTTCATCACCTACAAATATGCCCCAAAACTTGCAAAATAGGTGTCAGTGGTTTAGAAAATCCCAGATTACAGACATCTCTTTTAAGAAAGGCTGCATCACAGACATTTTACGTGAAGAAAATATATAAATATATAAATATATAAATAGAACGGACATGGGACATGGGATTATTCCTAGTTGAAAAGCAATTCAAGTAAGTTTGGCAATGAATGTGAAGATGTTTTAGATAAACGTTAACTTTTTTACTTTAAAAAATATGTACAGGAGTGTTATGATCAGTGAACATGTCTGAATAAATCTAAAAAATTTCAATAAACATAAAATTAAAATTTTTAAGTGACAATAAAGCACTGTTGGGTTTTTTTTTTTTTTTAGTTTAACTGGCAGCATTTTTTCCCCTTGATGAAACACAAAACATTAA